TAATAGCTATCGCATACAACTTAAAATTATTTTTGCTCCTATCCACAACACCATAAAATTTTAATGATCTCTTGACCTGTGACAGAAAAGAGGATAGAATATTTAAATAGTGTTAGGAGTGAGTAGTCGCCAAAGGAAAGGAAAGGAGGACACTACAGGGGAACATGAAATGAACAATTGAGGTCTGGGTAGAAAATACTTGAACATCTATTCCTATTCATCCAAACCTCATACATTTTACATTGTTGGTTTTTATTCTATTATAAAATAAACCACACACAGAAGAGTATATCTTAGTGAAGGTCTGCAACTTGACCCCCCAGGTCAACCAGTAGCATTTAACGAACCATTCCTGGAACCCTCTTTGTACCCTGCCCTAATACAGCCGGTCCCCACGTTGTATTCTTTATGGTTTTATCACCTAAGTGTGCCTTCCTGGATGCTGTAGCTGGGTCTTGCTTTTTGTTTAACTAGATACCTTTCTATGTCTTTTAATCCTTCCTTTCCTCTTTCCCTTACTCTTCCTTAGAATTTGCTTGTTAAGGAACTGGGCCATTTCACCTGTAGATTCTCCATCTGGATTTTTGCTGTTCACATATTTATGGTGCAGTTCAGCATGTTCTGCAGTTCTGTATGTTTCCTACAAGATCATGGCAAACTTGATCTGGAATCATGATCAAATTTGATATTGATCCCTTTGTTGTATTTTATCAGGAGGCACACAGGCTGCAAAATAGAAATACCCTACTTATTTTTGTTTTTACTTATTTTCTGGGATAATTTTATAGAGAGTCACTTCCTTCTTTTATTATTTGACTGCCCAGAAAAACAGTTCATATGGGAAAGGCAGGGAAAGTGTTTTGTTCTTTCCTTTTATTTACCTAGTTTTTAAGGTAATGAGTTGGTTCACCACTATCCTGAGGAGATACACAAATATATTTTTAAGTAATATTATGAATTCATGGATTAAACATTTTGTATGATAGGTTTCAAAATATTATAGTTCTTTTTTTTTTTATTGAAACTCAAACTGTCTCATCTTTGGCCACTGGAAGTCTCTTATTTTGGCCCTTAAGTCCTTTTGATATACCTTTGTAGTCTTTAATAGCTTCCATGCTGTTAGTGTTTTAACGTGGTTCAGGTTTATCTTGCCTGTTTTCTGTACAGACCTGTGATCAACTATTTTTTCAAGCCCTGATTTCTTTTAATGGAAAATGATGTTTAAAACCTCAATCTCAGTGTTAGGAATGCTCATTCCTGCTGGTTTGGTTGTTTCTAGGTCTTTTAAGTGTACAGAGTTGAAATCTATATTGTTTCTATTTAGCTATACTGAAGATACAGGATATTTTGATTTTTATAGGACTCGAGGGATTCTAGAATTAGAATATCATAATTTGATTTATTTTTATCTCACATCACAATAAAAACAGTAATTGCATTATTACCACATCAGTTGTTACTGGACAGTTTAAAAAAATGGAAATATTATCCTCTTTTACCTGATTTAGGTGGTTGTTCTAAATTTACATTGTCAAATCATATGGCTACTGCCTTTTGGTGTTCATTTAATGATCTCTCCCTTTTAGTCCTCATTTAATGTTAACTTCATAGGTAACTATATATTTAAAGCATATCACAAGTCTTTGTAATTAGATTATATGAAACATATTCTCTGTTAGTGTGACTGGCTAAGTGTAAGCATTTTTCCATGAGCAATAAATTAAGAAATATTTATTTGAGAACTATTCTCTGTGGAAGAATGTAAAATACAATGGTTCATTGATTCTCAAAGTATGACCATAGACTGGTGCTGATCCATGAATGAGATAGGTACAGAACTTGAGAGTTAGCAATTAGAAACTTTTTTAGCACTCTGACATCAAGCATGTGATTGGTATATTTTGTAAAAGTATTAACACCTGACTGATTGGAAATTTAAACAAAGTAAACAAATATAACTGCTCCATTACCACAGATAGTTTATTATAGATTGCCATTACAATCCACCCATTATCATGTAGCTGACAGGAATTAGGTATTTCAGATACATAGTTTAAGAGATAGATAAATTTCTGTGGGAAAAACTTATAGATGTAGACTAATGAAATTTTCAGAGAAGATGGACTTGATCTAGACTTTGGTTTCTTTTGTCAGACATGAAGAAGGGATGAAAACAGCATTAACAAAACATGCAATTATGGGTAGACAAAACACATTGTGTAACTGGCTTGACAAGAAACAGAAGGGTTTTACTAGTTAGAGTAGCGGAAATAAAATCAGGGTGGATAGTTGTTTAAAGGTCATCAATGTCTAACTGAACAATCATAATATTTTCCTGCAGGTGATAGAGATTCATTCATTCCACAAATTTAGTATAAGGCACTTTTCTGTGATTATGAAGGGCAAAACAAAGGTCTGATACTTTGCTACTTAGCTTCTAGTGAAGAAAAGAAAAAAGAAACATATTGAACAAGTCAATTTATAGCACTGTATTAAATAGTAAGTGATAAGAGGAAAAGCAGAGTAAGATATTTAAAATAAAGTCATCAACATGCATTTTGTGTACATTAAATTAATAGCATTTGTGTCCATGAAGCACAGTAGTTGTCTTCTTCTTTTAGCATATTTTATCTTGACTACCTCTGACAGTACCTTGGGAACTGCCATTTCAGTCTAGATAGGTAAACTTTAAGAACCAGAGCCTGCTAGATATCCCTGAATATGTTTTTTAAACATGTTTTTTTTTCCCAGTATGGCAGCAGCTTGATTGATTTGCCTATTTGTTGAGTTTTGTATACATCTTTTATGGTATTGGTTCTGATGCAGACATTCTGGAGGTCCAGAAACCTGAAGGTCCATGACCCACTGTGGGTACTTGGCATTATGCAGGAAATAATTCAGACAAGCCAACAGTGAGTTTAAAATGTAAGTGAGTAAAGGACAGAGAGAAGGCAACTCCACATACAGAGCAGCCCTCCTCCTTGGTGGAATTTACTTCTTTTTTTGAGGCTCATTTAATCAAGTAGTAGGGCATATAAGAAGGAGGAATATTCAAGATTTTTCCTGGAAAGGGGTAGAGACCTCTCAGAAGAACCTCATTAGCCACTTTGGGTCTTTATATGGACTTTCTCTTTCTGATCATGGTGCAACCAGATGGGTTGTTTAGAATGCTAATATATTACAATGATTGTATAATGAGGCTAGTGATTACCACAAGTTGAAACCAGTCACCGTGACGGATAGAGCTGGTCTTCTGCAGGTTCTAAGCCATGAATTTGTTGAGCATTGGTCTTACTACACTTGCTAGTGCCAGTAGCCCTTAATTTTTTACAGCCATTTTGCCACATACCCTGTCTCAGTTCTGCTGAGGTGCTTGGTGATTCTTGGTTGTGTACTACTTTTATATTTGTGATTCCTACTATACTTGGCTATGGATGATATGTATCTTTACTGTAGCCTCAGATGATAGTGGAGGAAGAAATGACTATATTACCAGATAGAATGTGACTATCTCATTAGTTTGTCTTTCTCAGTTTGAGGTTCTCCATCCTTTCTGGGGATCACTCTTAATTCCTGTCCCTAAATAGCAAGAGTATCCACACTTGCTATTTTAGACAGGCTGCACACACTTCCATGTCTTATAGCTCAATCCACGTGGGGCCAGATTGTAAGGCTGGTAAAAGCTAATCACCTTAGATGCTCCCTTCCTCATGACCCTGACAGTAATTTGAGGTATCCCTTTATTTTTTTTCTTTCTTGTCTCTGAACTTTTGTCCATTAACTTTACTGCTCTTTCCAGCTCCACGTAGAACTTTCTCTTGTATATGTAGTTTGAGCTGTGGTTTTCTGTCATTTTTTTCTCTATATAGATCTGATTTTATCCTCTTTATATCTTTACAGATCCTTAAAATGTCTGGTTTATTGATTATATACCTTCAACTGTTACAGATTCTTTTTGTTTCATGTACTCTGATGTTTTAAGATTGGACACAGAAGAGTAATAGTATATATTAAGTCTGCCATCTTTTAGGCTTACTCTGCCAATTGATGACCTTTAAAAATGATTTAAGACTATAATTATAGGGTACAGTGTTTCTGGTTATTAAACAAAATGAGCAGCCAGAAAAATTAGCATACACTGTTGTGTTTGGCCTTATTATGTATTAGCCTACCTGACAGGTTAATTTAATAAGGTCCCATTTAATTTGAAATTACTGAAACTACATTTTAAAGGTTTTTGTTTTACTAGGGAGACAATTATAGAATCTTGATTCTATTTTCATCAATTCTGTCTTTGTGAGCAAATGAAGAGTAGGGAGTAAAAGTGTTATTGCTATATTGGTGTAAGGGTAGAATGTTTCAAGTCAAGAAGCAAAAACTATTTCAAGTTAGCCGAAAAGTATTCTAATTCTACTCATTTTTCTCAAGAGTTGAATCAGCATGAAAACTCTTAGTCTTCAAAGTATAACTCAAATTGTCTTCTCTGGAGTCTTCCAAACTCTATAAGTGTTCCTCACTTTGTACTTCCATGATGTTTTTATTGTATTATATGAGTTATAGGAGTTTTCATTATATTGGAAATACTGTTTTATTACAGGTTGCCTTTCACCAGACTCTGAATTCCTCCATGTTTTATTCACCTTTTGCAATCACAGCATTATATTTACACAGTGATTGGAACATAATTTTAGGAACGTAAAGATGGATACTAACTCATCATTCTAATTTCCTCTCCCAAAGAGTCGGCCCAGTTATAAACTACAGGGATCTCTTAGAGCATAATGACTTTTAATAGTGTAACATTTAAGTTTGAAGTTTGTCATTTATTTTTATGAGGGAACAATTACCATATAGTCTGTAAATATGCTATTATATGCTGCTGCCTTTGAAAATGCCTCATTGTGTAAAAAACAATAAAGTAATCCTGTTTTGAAAATATATTTTTATCATCTAAAGCCCAGTATTTTAGATTTGTCATTTTCTTTTTTTTTTTTTTGAAGGATCAAAGTAACAATGAAATTATGATTGGAGTAATGTCAGGAGGAATTCTGATATATAAGAACAGGGTACGAATGAATATCTTTCCATGGTAAGGACTTCCATCAATACTTTTGCTTTTTTATATTACTAATATGATAATTCATATTAAAGAAAGTGGCTATTCAAGTATATTAATGTGTGATGCAAATTTATTTCACTTAAAATTTACCAAAAGATAACAAAACAATTGAGTTATTTCAAAAATTGTTTAACTTATAAAAAGTATTACTTTATGAATTTTTCTGGTAGAGAATCTCTAAATTTGTACTGTAATCTAATAGCTAACATCATGTTTACTGTTTTGCAGTATGCTAATCACTTTAAATACAGTATTTCATTTAAATGCATTCAGTGAGGTACTAGTTTTTTAGTTGAAACACAGGTATAGTTGCTGCAACAAATGCCCAGTATTACAGTGCCTTAAATTGGTGTTAAGAAACCATAGTGGCTCCATGGGATATAAAACTCCTGTTTCTGTATGTTTGTTTTTGTCTTAGTGCTGTACTGTCCATAGCATATTATCCTTGTCCTCATTGTCTAGGATGACTTGCCAGTGTCACTTCTGTATCCTAGAATAAAGAAAAAGGAAAAGTAGCATCTGCCACGTTCCTTTAATGCAAATAACATGAAAATCACATTTATCGTATTTCGTGTGTGTGTGTGTGTGTGCGTGTGTATCATATAATAACTCAGGTTTTTAGAAGTAAACACAGTGATTTTCTTTAGGAAAAGAAACATACAGAATAACTTGTATTAATCTGTCTCTATATTATAGCTCTTAAAATATTACTACTGATTTTTCAGTATCTATGATTTTGACTTAATAGGTTTTTCTAGTTAATCACTTTAATATTGCTATAATAGAACTATGATAACTGACAGAAGCAATTATTTTACAATTTCCTTTAGGTCACAAGAGCATGAGTCATAACATTAAAAATTAATGAAATAAATATAAAAATTAAATACCTTTGTTTTTCAAAAGACATTCTAAAGATGATAAGACAGTTTTTTAAAAATATATATCTTTGATAAAGGATTCATCAAAAATGTATAAAGAACCCTTATAGCTCAGTAATAAGAAGGCAGCCTGATTTTAAAAATAGGCAAAATATTCAAATAGACACATTCACCACTGAAGATATACAGGTGGCCAATAAACACATGAAAAGATGCTCAGTCATCAATGAAATGCAAATTAAAACCATAGTGAAGTCTTCATTTATACTCATGAGAGCAGCTCCAATTAAGAAAAATGACAATGCTAAGTGATAACAAGGAAGCAGAGTACCTAGAAATCTCACACATTGCTGCTGGGAATGCAAACTAGTACACCAACTTTGGAAAAGTTGGCAGTTTCTTTAAAGTTAAACAGAGCCCTGGCTGGTGTGGATCAGTTGTTTGGAGCATCATCCTGTAGACCAAAAGGTCACAGGTTCAATTCCCAATCAGGGCACATTCCCAGTCTGTCTACCTATCTCTCTTTGTCACTCTCCAAAAGCAATGAAAAAAATGTCCTCAAGTGAGGATAAATAATAACAACAATAACAACAACAATAGTAAAGTTAAACATAGATTTACCATATAACCCAGCAATTCTATTCCTAGATATTTTTCTGAGATATGAAAACAAAAGTTTACATAAAGACTTGTACACTGATGTTCATAACTAAACATTATTCATAATAGCACAAAACAATTCCAGATGTCTATCAGTTGATGAAAGGATAAGCAAATTATGGTATAAGTAGACAAAGGAAAAACGTTCAGCAATTAAAAGACATGAACTATTGATAAACTAAACCATATGGATGACACTGATCCATCCACAAACCATTATGCTGATTATTAGAAGTTAGACACAAAAAATTATGTTTCGATTTATATGAAATTCTGGAAAACATAAATTACGGATACAGCAGACCAATAGTTGCCAGAGACTAAAAACAGGAGGGGGCAATTGACTATGAAGGGTACCAGGTCGACATATTCAGGTGGTAGAAATGTTGCATGGTGAGTTTGGTGGGTGGAAATTATACAATCTACATTTGTCAAAATTCATTGACTTGTTCTCCTGTGATTGGTATATTTCATTGTATATGTAAATCATACTTCTATATAGCTCATAAAAGAAAACTAAAGATCAGTTAGTGTTTCCTGTCACATCTTCTAAATGGTTCCTATATAATTCAAACTGGTATGTTTAAAGGAAAATATAAAACAATTCAATACATGGCCTCTGCCTAAAAGTGGACACATAAAAATTCATTATAAAACCCAATAAGAAATATTTTAATACATTTGCATTTTTATGTTTATGATTTCACTAAAGACAGTGTTTTTTAAATACTTTTTTTTCTTAATCCTCATCAAAGGACATTTTTTCCATTGTTTTTAGAGAGAGAGGAAGGGGGAAAGAGGGAGAGACACGTGCATGTGAGAAACATTGATTGGTTGCCTCCCACACATGCCCTGACTGGGCATCAAATCTGCAACCTAGGCATGTGCCCTGACAAGGGATCAAACTCACAGCCTTTCAGTTTATGCAGTGCTGCTCTAACCAGTTGAGCCACACGGGCCAGGGTAATACTTTCTATATTTTTATTTTATATTTTATATAAATGTCAAAATCAGAAATAAATTTTCAGATTATGTGAGTTAAAATAACATGATAATCTAATTTTTCTGTATTGTCAAAATTCTATAATTTATACACATTCCTTTATTATTATTATTAAATAGTGATTCTAAAAGAGTGGCAAATTGTTTTAGGAAACATAAAGGATACAATGTCTCTAGAGAAAATTTTAATGGCCCTGTGATATTTGAGATGGTCTTTAAAGGATAAATAAAATTTTCCTCAGTGAAAAGAAAGTATAAAAGAAACGTGTGTAGAGGGTTCAGTTGGTGAATTCACGGTAGAGGTACCAAGTGTGTGCAAAGACCTACTGATTAGAAAGGACATGGCAAGTTGAAGAAATGTTGGGCTATTTCATTCGGTTTTTGCTTCAGTTTTCATCATTGAGTATACAAGCAAGAGAACAAGAATTTAGGAATATGATGTTTAAGAAAGAGAATGGGGTTCAGATTATGAAGGATCTCGTATATTCTATAAACTTAGGAGTTGGTATTTTATTGGTAAATATGCTTGGAGATGGTTTAATGTTGAGAAATAGATACTTCCGAATCTTTATCATAAATTTAAGTTAGAAGAAAAGGGGGACATGAGTATTTAAGATATTGATTGGAAAACTTTACATAATGTTCATTTTAAACTTTATTTTCATGAAATTAAGCTAAGTAGATGGGATTGAAAGTTCTTTGTTTTTATTTCTTTTAAATGTATTTTATTGATAATGCAATTTACAGTTGTCCCATTTTCCCCCCTTTATTCCCCTCTGCCTTGTACACCCCCTCCCACTCACATTCCCATTTAGTTCATGTTCATGAGTCGTACATATAAGCTCTTTGGCTTCTACATTTTCTATACTATTCTTAAATTCCCCCTGTCTCTTTTATGCCTACCATTTATGCCACATACCCAGTGTCCTTTTCCCCCTTCTCTCCCCCTCCTATTCCCCTACTGATAACCCTCCATGTGATGTCCATTTCTGTGATTCTGTTCTAGTTGTTTGCTTAGTTTTTGTTTTTGTTTTAGGTTTGGTTGTAAATAACTGAGTTTGTTGTCATTTTACTGTTCCTATTTTTGAGCTTCTTTGTTTTTTTAGATAAGTCCCTTTAACATTTCATATAATAAGTACTGGGTGATGAGGAACTCCTCTAACTTGACCTTATCTGGGAAGCACTTTATCTACCCATTCATTCTAAACGATAGCTTTGCTGGATAGAGTAATCTCAGATGTTGGTCCTTGCTTTTCATGACTTGAAATACTTCTTTCTAGCTCCTTCTTGACTTCAAGTTTTCTTTTGAGAAATCAGCTGATAATCTTATGGGCACTCTTTTGTAGGTAACTCTCTCCTTTTGTCTTGTGGATTTTAAGATTCTCGCGTCACCATTACATCTTGGCTAATGTAATGATGATGTGCCTTGGTGTGTTCCTCCTTGGGTTCCTCCCAACTTCTTTGGGACTCTCTGAGCTTCCTGGACTTCCTGGAAGTCTGTTTGCTTTGCCAGATTAGGGAACTTCTTCAGTATTTTTTCAAATAAGTGTTCAATTTCTTGCTCTTTCTCTTCTTCTGGTACCCTTATGATTCGGATGTTGGAATGTATAAAGTTGCCCCAGAGCTTCTTAAGCAAGCCTGTCCTCATTTCTAAAAATTCTTCTTTCTTCATTCTGTTCTGGTTGACTGTTTATTTCTTCCTATTGCTCTAAACCGTTGATTTGAGTCCTGGTTTCCCTCCAGTCACTGTTAGTTCCCTGTGAACATTTTTCTTGTATTTCTCATTTCATAGCCTTCATTTTTTTCTCTAATTTGCAACCATATTCACCCAATTCTGTGAGCATCCTAACTACCATTGTTATGAACTCTGCATCTGACAGGTTGGCTATCTCTTCATTGCTTAGTTGTATTTTTTCCTTCATTTGGGCCTTTTTTTTTTTTTTGGTCTCAGCATGCCTGTTATATAGTAAGGGCCAGAGCCTTAGGTGTTCACCAAGCCAGGGCAACCCACATCACTGTGTTGTGATGCTGTATGTGGGGGAGGACTGTAAGAGGGAACAGTGCCACTTGCTTGGCTCTCTGCTGGTTTTCAGTCATTGCCCCTGCCACCCACAATCAAATTGGGCCTTTCTGGTGCTGATTCCCATCTGGGTGAGTTCATATGCGTTCTAGGACTTTGTGGGTTTCTCCAAAGAACTCTCCTGTGAGGCTGGGAGTTTCTCCCACTGCTTCTTCAACCCCCGCAGATTTTTTCAGTCAAAGGCTTTGAGGCTTTATTTCCCTGTACTGAAACCCTGGGTTTTGTGGTCTATCTCACTCCCCAGTTGTTCCTCCCAGTTTATCTGCACACAAATGTGGGGCCACCCAGTACACAAGCCACTACCTTGCCTGCTCCACCAGAAGCCTTGCTACAAGTCCTCTCTGCCC